AGATAAGTTGTTTAGGTAAAGGTTTATGGTTAGAAAGGGGGGGGGGGGGGGGGTTTAGAAGATTTCTTTAGTTAAAAAATCCAAACTCATGATTTTAAGTGAGATTTGAAAGGATTTGATCAACTCCCCTAGAATCAACAAAATCATATAAAAACTCAAATAACTTCAAATCACATTAAATCATGCTTTGAATACACCCCTTATTTCTCTCAACATAGACTCTCCACATACTTTCATGATCAAGTCAAGTAGAGACTCTCCACATATTTCTGATCCATGGTTTAACCTAGCTCCCTCTCTATGCTCTGATCTGGATTCTTGTTTGTGGCAGATTGATTCTAAGGAGTTAAAGAACTTGTCCACCAAGGAAACATGGGAAGGGTTAAGGCAAAGATTAGACCCATTATCTTGGACTGACCCAAGACATGCCATTTTGATGTGGCTTATGCATCTAGACAGACTACCTACGAGAACAAAAATGGTAAGGTGGGGACTTCAAATTGACTATAGTTGCTGCCTCTATGGTCTTACCAGGAATCTAGGGATCACATTTTTCTTCACTGGAAGTAAGTGAGGGGCTTTGGTTAGAGGTTAACAAACGACTTGGCTACAACCTATTCGCCTTTCACAGCTTGGTTGGATATAAATTCCTTTATGGAAATTTCACTGAAACTAAGAGTGAGTGTCTTGAGGATTGGTGAGTTCTCAAGTAAGTAACTCAAAAATTTCATCTCTATCTCGCCCCCTTCCAATGGCCATTGTAACTTAACATGCTCGAGAGATGATAGGGGACGCCGAGGTCCAGTGAAAATACTACTTATCTCCTCCGGGAATGAATTATATTCCTGATAGTACAACCAAGTGAACAAAACAAGTTTGAGTAATTATGATACCTTCCCCATTTGCATCATACCAAAGAAAGTAAATAAGTTTTAAAGTAAACAATCCTAACTGATGTCGTCGAAGGCAACAGCCAAGGAAGATAGATTACGAAATACGGGCAATGCTTCACATCTCGATGCATCATAAATGGCCTATAAACAACAATTCACAACAAAAACAAATTTGAGGACAAACGTATAGAATCATGTCAAAACATTTAAATAACAAACGACATCAGTTACCTCAGGAGTAGATGAAGACACGAGCATAGATATCCCAGCAAGAAACTTCCGAATCATGTTTCTTTTTTTCAGATCCATCGGATCAAACTCCATTTTGAAACAAAAGTAAAGCTCCAGATTCGCATGTACAAGAGAACTCAGATTACTTACTAGTTACTACAAAACTTTCGGTTATATGATCAGAGAGTTGGAGATCTTCAAGCCTCGGTGCATCTATTGACACCACTGGATCATCATGTAGTACGTCTACTCTTTGAGAATTTTTGAGCAATAACCCTTATAGTGTACCCCTTTTTAAAAATACGATTTTTCTAACCAATATCAATTTCTATTGGAATGGTTCACGTACTTGAGAACTCACCAATTCTTAGGTAACATATTTGAAAAAGAGTACACTATAAGAGGTACACTATAAGGGTTATTGCTTAAAAATTCTCAAAGAGTAGACGTACTACATGCTATAGTATTTGTAATCTTATCATTTATAATTTTATGCATTTTTAATATATTTCAATTGAAAATAAAAGCAATAATTTTGGAAAAATTAAGAAATTTAAATAATTATTTATAAAGTAAAGGTAGTAAAAGAATGTGTTTTTGATATAAGTTATATAAAGTAAAGTGGGAAACTTGGAAAGATATAAACAAAAACACAATACTATTTCTAATTGGTAAAGACAATACACATATCTAGATATTACTGTATACCTAACACAAATTGTTTTGGATATGTTGTAGATATAATACAAATTATTTAAATCTTCATAGAAATATTAACTTTTTAAAAAATCTATACATTTGTAATTTGAACAGCTTTTAGATAAACTATGTAATTTTATGACTTTATTAACATATCTGGTAAAACAAATTTGGTTTGGTTCAGTTTTAGAATAGTTTTATTAAAAAGAAAGAATAAAAAAATTATTGATAAAACTTTATTGTTTCTGGTTTTATATGATGATAAGATAACACTACAGTTGTCAAATTTAAATTTATTAGTTTCCCATATAATAAATC